TGGCATAAGTATGTCCCAAATATTGGACAGGGCAACTTGCTTCCAACTATATTATTCTTGGAAATAGTACTGTCACCAAATATGAGGGTGGGCGAGAGACAGAGCTCATTTGTACTGTGGCTACATGGCAAAACAGCATCCTGCTGTAAGGACAGAGAGCTGCAGGTTTCTATTAAGCACTAACTCTGGGTTTCTGAGTAAGTAGCTGATGGTAAAGCCCCCTTCTATATTTAGGGTAAGTGCGCCTTTGTCCAGAGTCCAGGGGTCCTCAAACTACGGCCCGCAGGCCACATGCAGCCCGCTGGGTTTCTACCGCTGCTGCCTGTCCTGCTTAGCAGCCCCTCCTCCCCTGCCCACAGTGCGCATGTGTGGAATGTGCGCCGCACTCTCCCACGGCCCTCCAACGGTCTCAGGGACGGTGAACTGGCCCCCTGTTTAAAAAGTTTGAGGACCCCTGGTCCAGACTATTAGGTGTGTTCTATCTTAAGCACTAAAATATGCTTTGCTAATCACTGAATCTTATAACTATTTATTTAAAAATTACCTCTCATATTCTGGCAAAAAAAAGTTATGTATCAACCATAATATTGTGTTGCTATGGCTTTTCATTTTCTTTCCTGAAAAGTCATGGTATTTTAGTACAAAATTTAAAGGGATTTTGTCAGAAATTGCTATTTAGAATACATCTTAAACCAGAATCCCCATAGTTTTTATTGTAAAAATGTATATATTCTTAAATGAATAAGCTTTTTGTAAATGCTATCATCTTCATCATTTCATATTATTTATGATAATCAATAAATACCTGTCCAGTTCTTATTCCTGATGAAGAATATTCATAGACTTTATTAAAATAAAAGAGACAATGTCCTATCTTAATATCATGACTAATTTTTTAAAACTTGGATTTTTCATTCAAGTTGAATGTTTTAATGCTTCATACCTTGTACTTTAAGAAATCTTTATCTCAATATCACGAAGATATTTTCCTCTATTTTCTTCTTGAAACTTAATATTTTTTTCTTTATTATTTAGATCCTTATTTCATATAAAATAGATTCATGTACATTATATGAAGAATGAATCTAATTTCTGCTTTTCTTATACGGATACTCATATTGAAGAAAGTTCACTCTTTTGCACACACTAATATAATATAATTCTGTTATATACTAAGTGACTATATATTTAACTTTTTCTAGACTATCTTATCCTTTCTATGTCATTTTTTAAATATAATTTTTTTCAGGGAACATGACTTTAAAGACCAGAAGGCACACCATCTCAATTGTCTCCTGTTCTCACTCAAATTTGGACCATTCTTTGCAACATTGCTGTGAGAGAGCACGCTAAGTTGTAATAATACAACACAGCTATATTTTTTTTGAAAGATCGTAAGAAAATCATCATTTTCCCATGATTCACTTGTACATGTGGTTGATCAAAGAATGGTAGAAGTTAGCGGGGAAAAAGACTTTTATTTTGTATCAGGATATATGAAGATTTACATATGTGAAATGTTTCTTTCACGGGATTGAAATCGCCAGCCAATGACTGCGTGTGGTTCCAGACAACTGCATCTAAGTTTGAGTAACTAAAAGTGAGTGCCTTGGCTAGAGCTCCTGTAACTTATTTAAAGGACGAGGATTTCCACAGCCTAAAGAAAATGATACATATCCTGGTGGACTTACTGACTGAGGGTGTTTCTAGAATATAACCACAAACACAGGCTGTCAACTTAGTCAACAGCTAAATGTGCTCCTGTTCTATGCTTCAGAGGTGGACAAAAAATTTTCCAGGCATAACTCATTTTCTAAAAGTGGGGACACTTACTTAAAATGCCCTATCCTTAGCTGCTGTTATCCATTTGTAGATAAAAGGGAAAGAGAGCTGGAAATCCAAGTTTTATAGCTGACTGAATAACAAGTTACATTTCAGCATTGTCATTCTAATTCCTCCAACTCAGTGACCTACCCATAAGTTAATCATATTTTATTTTAAGTCATAATGTAGTTTCAGAAGTAAAACTTGAAGATAATGTATATATACATTAGTTTAAAAATACAAATATAAGTCCTGTTAGTTAACAAAAACAAATTTTTTCAAAGTAAAATGGTGATTTTTTTTTAATCAAAGCCCTTCTTATGATCTTAGAAATCTTTGATTGTTGTAATCTTGCTGTTCTAACATTTGGGATGAAAGAAAAATATGTTGCTGGACAAGACTTTGAAATGAAAAAAGACAACTGAAAGAGATTTGACCTAATTATTTTAACAGGCATAATATGTTTTACATTCATAAGAAACACCTTTCAGAAACAATGTCAATGAAATATGCCACATGAAGGTGCTTAGGATAGTCATAAGAAGTATTTAGTAGACGTTGGATGATCACTTTAGGAAATGACATGATCTTATAAAATGATAAATCAAGTACTTAAATATGAAAAAATTATTTTCTATGTGTTTTAAATATTCACAAATTCTGTATTTCAGGGTAAATATTTATGAAATATGAAGTCTCTAATAATTACTTTTTGGAAGTAAATATTAAAGACATAAGCAATAAACAAAATAACAGAGAGCTATTCTAATCCCTGAATTTGAGATTTTCTAACCTCTCAAAGATAAAGGTTAACTTCCTGTGGAAAAATTTGGATCCATTGAATAGATAGGTAGATGTCATTCTCTGAAATTTAAGAAAGTAATAATTGGACAAATGCAATACCTTACTTCACGAAGTCTAAAAGAATCCTAATGAATAGACTATTTTTTAATAATCTTTCATCTCCTGATGTTTTATTATGAAAGTAAAATCATGTAGTTATCAATGTATCATAGATGTCTTTAATAAGTAGCTGTTTTTTCCTCTGATAACATAGATAAAAGTCTTCCTCCTAAATGTAGTAGAATATGTATGACTTTACTTTAAAATGTTCTTAATTTGCTTTTTAACATAGCAGGATCATTAGAGAACCAATACATATATCTGTAAGAATATGTATTCCTAAATGCAAATGCAGTGAAATGTATACATCAATGTAAAATTACATTGTTTATTATTATATATTTATATTTTAAAATAAGTGAAATATTATATAGCATAATTGTTTAAAATTTAGCGACATGACATAAAATAATTAATGATCTCACTCTGCAGATACTTTATGCCAATCAAGTATATATTGTTCATTTATAGCAACTGTCAATGATCATAGGATCATTAGAAATGTTTAAAAGTTTTCATAAGAAGTTATAACCTAGCTCAGAGATAAGAGGGAACTTCATAATCTATTTTTTATAAATAGACTTAATATCCATATATGTTATTCAAACTACAAAGGTAAAGGCATTGGAAAAATGAAGAGCACAGAGCTAATGAAGGTTTTCAGGAAGAGAATCTCATAAAAACTAAACAGAATGTATGAGCCTTGCAAGCAAACCTCAAAGTATTATTTTCTTTCATTACCTTTCACTGTTATGATCCAAATAATGTCTTTCATTCAGCCCTGAACCTCTAAAAACATGTCAAGCCATGTTTGCAACTCACAGCTGATCGACCGATAAGCCAAACCACAGCAGTAACACATAAGACAACACCTCAGACCTCCAGATAGAGATGCCAATAGATTACCGAGACAGGCCGTGGCATCCGTTTGTTTGACAGACAGTTAAAAATCCTCTTGCAGAATGCTAAAATATAAGACATTCTTACAATCTTAAATTCAAGTAGCTTCATACAATCTGTGAGGAAAACCTGGCCAAACCAACAAACACATATAAAAATGAATGAACCAGAAATCATAAAATATTGACTGTTTCTGCTGCATTTCAGAAAGAAAATCTTTAGTATTTCTCATTTCATTTTTTTTTACATAAAATAAATCCTTTCTTTAGACTTGTGACAGTACTTTGGCTGCCTGGACTAAGAAATTTCTTATTTTTTAAAAAAAGCACAGCAATAATCATGTGATGCTTCATGCAACTCGTTCAGGAAATCCAGTCTCTTCTGTAAATATACATTGCTGATAGGATTAATAAATTTCTCATAATGTTATATAAAAGACTACAGACAGACCTGAAGCACAGTGCCCTCTGGTGCACATACAACATAAAATAAAATATTTATAGAACCATATCTACCTAGATACACACACACACAAAAATACAAAACAAAATTTGCTTCTACATAAATGCTAAACTAAAACCTGGAAATTATAAACTTCTATTGCTAATAATCAAACCGAAATGATTACTTTACATAAAATATTCTTTATGGCATAGATCAATACAATCTACTCTATTCAGGCAACCACTTGTACACTCACTCCTCTACCAATGGATTCACTGGACTTTAGGACAGCAGGCAGCATTGGTTGGATTCAATATACAACTCTTTGTGTAGCATATTTAGCTTTCAAATATAGAAGAGTGACAAAAGTTAAAGGTCATATATCTTAACCTCCTTCCTCCTTTTCTTTGGTCTTTGCTATCATGTCCTGTTTATCTGCTATTTGTTTTATTCCATTGCTGTTTCCTTTAGCTTCTGAATGCACAATTACCTTTCAGATAAAAAAGGATGAGGTGACTCGACTTCTCAGTGACTAGTAGAAGGTAGCATTGTCATTTAGGCTAAAAAAGGTAACATAGCATGGTATAAGGTAGAAAGAGAAAGTGATTTAAGCAAATTCATTTTTAAATTTTGGCTATTTAAAGTGAGAAACTCAGCCTCCTGGTACATTGACATTTACCTTAAGGCAGTGTAGCATTCTAAAATTTAGGAGCGATACACAAGTGGTCATCGTTATCTATTTTTTTCATAATATATTACATATACAAGAAATATTTTGAAATAGCAAGAAAACATTGCTCTGGTGCATGATAAGTAATAACCCCTCTGATAATAACCCTTTCCCATCTGCAACTTTCCCTTAGAGAAACTTATTTATATACAACCTTCAAGGATGATATCTCTGTAATTGCTTTCCCTTTGCTTCATACCTGTATATCTTGTATCTCGTGCTAAATCCCTGCCGGCTTCTGTCCACAAAATCTGTGTATTCCTGTGAGCGATGGAAGGGTCCCTTATCAGAGAGGAGCCAGTCGAAGGGGCTTGTGGCATGCTGGTCCGAAACAGCAGCAACCGCTAACACCCAGCAGTGGAGACTCAGTGCTATCCACTCCCATAGAGCCATCAGAGAGAGCAATTCAGCACCAGCTCTGCGCCGCCATATCATGCTTCCACTGGGGGTTTAGAGCCTTCATTCTCTTAGCTTTCCCTCAACACCTAGACAAAATACACAGGCAATTAGTTAATCCTTGGAAGATTCTTTTCTATCAGTTAAGGGGCTGAGGCGGGTAATTTTCTAAATTTTAATCCAATATCATTATTTTCAATTAAATGATAGTAAAGGAAAATAAGATGCAAAACAAATTTTTGACAGGTGTGTATCTTTTATACTTTGCACTCTTTTTTTATATTAATGGAAAATAAGGTCCTGAGTCATTACAGGTCTTGTCGTGACAATGTCCTCCAGCAGATCGTTAAAGCCTATTGAGCAACAATCAGAAGTTTCAGTTAACATTCTTTTTTCGCCTTAAATGTTTTACAAAATTGGACACCTTTACGGCTGCGTGCGGAGGCTCACGCCTGTAATCCTAGCACTCTGGGAGGCTGAGGTGGAGATCTGCTCAGTCAGGAGTTTGAACCAGCCTGCGCAAGAGCGAGACCCCGTCTCTACTAAAAATAGAAAAAAAATTAGCTAGACACGGTGGCGCATGCCTGTAGTCCCAGCTACTCTGGAGGCTGAGGCAGGAGGATCGCTTGAGCCCAGGAGTTTGGTTGCTGTGAGCAAGGCTCACGCCACAGCACTCACCTGGGCAACAGAGTAAGACTCTGTCTCAAAAAAAAAAAAAAAAAATGGACACCTTCAACCTAAACATTTAATATGTTTAAATATTTCATAAATTTTGTGACTGATGTTAATACTAAGTATATTAATTGTTTATTTATAATTATTTTAGATAAATGCTTTAAAATGAATTAAAGACATCCATGTAGTTATTCCATAATCTAGATAAACTTGAAGTAAAAATGTAGGTCTAAGAACACATAATGTATAAATGTATGTGTGTGTATATCTTCTTATCTATCTAGATATAAGATAGAGAGATAGATCATAGAGCCAGATCGATGAAAGGACAGATGTGGGGAGGGGGTGGAAGTGTGGAGTAGTGTGTTTGCCCAAGTATTTTTTTTCCATTATTTTTCTTAGGGACGAATAGCTCCACTGATTATTTAAACAGAATCATAATTAAATGTCTCCAGGCTTTAGAAAATTAAATGTGCATCTCTGTTTATTCATGAGATACTCATACCTGCAAATTCTATATATAACATAAACTAGACAATGCGATTATTTAAACTATGAACTGCATACATTATAATATACCATCTCAAATAAATAACAAGATGTGTAATCTCAGTATGGTTGGTATAAGGAACTTTTATAAAGCTCTTGATGCAATGCCTATATGCTACAAAATTCTAAAAATATTTATTAATTTACTTTCCCTCTCATCACCTCATTTCAATAGTATTATCCATACCACATAGAACTATAAAGCATAAGATTCTGATTGAGAAAGTTTTAGTTACGAGATATTTTAGTCAGCAAATCTCTTAAAAATCAAAATTCACAGTATTGGTAAAAACTTTCATTACAGTAGCTACCATATTTCTCTGGAGTTTGGATAGAGAACTGATAGTTTAACTTGCTTCTCTAGTATAACACTACATTTGTAATTTACCTAATATCCTATATGAGAAATATACAGCAATTTTTTGCAACTCTAAAATATCTCAAAACAGTGATTCAATGGAGTGACCTAGATCATCAGACTCACATTTTACTTACTACAAATAAAATGACATTACCCCATATACATATATAATTTGCCCCAACTAAATGGTCCACTATGAGGATTAAGAATGCCCTCTATTGTAAACAATATAGGAGTTTTTACAAGTGAAGACATTTTAAAGTTATTTACCATAAGAAGGATAATAATATAATGGAAGATTTTGGACCTCCATCAATTATATTATAAATGTAACTGTCAAATGATTCAACTATAAATTCATAACTTTCAAATCTACTGAAAATAGCTTTTTTTACAATTGTTTTTTCATATTGGGACTATACTGTTATCTCAAAGGAACATAGTTTATTACATTTATAAACTTAGAAATTTCTTAGTGTATTGGTAAAGCATAATCCCCCTATGATTTAAATATTGCTCATCTCTGTTAACATCTCACTACATTTTATTTGCTGATCATTACACATTCAAACTAAAATTTCGTCTTACAATAATCATATTTCAAATTTCAATAAATTATTTTTATTCACAAAGAAGGGTAGACAAATTATTCAAACCTATACTTGTTTTAAGTCATATTACATATTAATCTGAAAGGCAATAACTTTAATCAATGGAACTCACAGTAATACCATCTGAGTAGAACTTTTATTACCAACATAAATGTGAACAAAATGTGAGCTGAAATAATTAAACAAAATTTTCACTTCTCTAATTAGTAACTTGGAAATAGTTATTTGAAAACAAAGTCAATTTTCTCAAATCCACAACTAGTAAGTTATAACATCAAGAGCAGTAGAGATAGTGTTCAAGAGATCGGACTCTGGGCCGCTTCCTGTGTTAAATCCAGCCTCTCCCACTATGTAGATGTTTGAACTCTGTAAAGTTCACTTGAACTTTCAAGTTGAACTTCAAGTTGAACTTTCTTTGTGCTCAGAATCTTCAACTGTTGTAGAAGATCCTCATAAGTCTGTTAAAAAAATCAATGAGTTAATATTTGTACTCCTAGAATAGTATCTAGCATATATGGTAAGGACATGAGTGTTTTAAATCATATTTTGTACTGGTATGAAATCATGCAATTCATATCATAAATTAAACCCAACTCTTTATTCAAACACATGATTTTGTAATACAAAGTGTTATATAAAAGTAGGATAAATTGACCTAGATGCATTTAAGGTCTGTTCTAACTTCATAATTTTTCAATAGGTAATTACCCAGAACCACGGTTTTATCGTCTTTTTTATAAAATATATTGAGGATGCTCATGGTCTTCGTACCCCTCATACTTAAACTATATTGTGTATATTTAAGGTATAAACATGCTACAGTATGGTTACTGTAGTGGAACAAATGAACAAGCATCATCGCAATAGTTATCCATTTTAACTATGGAAGGTGGGAAGGTTTCTTAAATTATGTGTAGGTAACTACTTTAATATTACTCAGTAATTGCTACCTAATAATAGTTTTAGTTATTTCTGTTTTTCCACTTCTGATTTGGTACATTTTTCCACTGCTGTTCAGAAATAAATTTCTGAAGAAAAGTTAACACATAGGATATCAACCTATCCAAGTTTAAATTAATTTGGGGGATCTCTTGAATCATTATGTTTATAAGAACCTTTAAAGAGAGTTATAATAACTAAACTAAGATGTTCCACAAATTACACTAAAGTGTCTTCTTTATCCACTATGTGGTATTTCATCTTTCAACTCTTTAACCTAAACACTACTTTTACTACTTCTTATTCATTGCACATATCCATCAGTTCAAAGTTCATGCATTCTTCTTCCTAAGAACTGAACTGTAACTATCTCTCACCCACTTTACTTGACTTGCTCATTCTGTACCAGCATATACCCCACCACTCTATGGATGGCTGCAATGCTTCATAACTGGTTTGCCAAAGACCCATGTGGCTCTCTTGAATCTGTTCTTTTCACTACAATCAGAATTATCGTACTAAAAAGTTAAATCTGAACATATAATTCCTTTACCCACAATTATGTCATTGCATACTTTCCCCTCTGAGTAATATTAGAACTCTTTAAAATAATTTATAAAATTATCTTCCCTTGTTTAACTCTTCATCTACATCTTCCCTGTGTGTGTATGCCATCACCATTATCAACCAAATATCAACTACGCTTCAGACTTACTGTATATCTCAAATTCACCTCACTTTCTCTCATTACTCAGGATCTTTGCGTATGTAGTTCTGCCTGAATCATTATTTTTACTTGGACCTCTTCACCTGCCCACCTTGACCTATCCTTAAAACTTTAGATTAGATCATCACTCCATCCCATAAAGCTTTCTATGACCCTTTAAGGCTGGTTACTAATGCTTTATGCTCCTGTTCCTTCCCATATGATAGAACATTTGCACTGCATACATATGTTTGGTCTATTTCCCTCAGCATCTCCCTTCCCCCAGTTAGATTAATTTTGGGAGGAAAATAATTGTTCCTACTTTAATGACAATGAAACCATTACCAAAATGCCTGAAATAAAATTGTCTAATAAGTATTGGTAGAGTGAATGAAGAATAATGATTAAATAAGTACTAACTTAAGAAATAATTAATATGGTATGGCAGGAAAGATTAGGAAAACTCCTTCTGTAGGGAAAGAAAAAACAAAGACCTACAGAGAATTTTACATCTGAGCTAAGCTTCAAGATGACAATTGCTTTGATACTTGAAGCAAAGGAGGAAATGGAGTTTTGAGGTAATGTTTTTTATATCCAAATTGTAAGCATAATAAATAAATGACATGTTCAGATAGTATCAAAGCAAAACATTTTTAATATTAAAAACATTTTAAAGACAAGGATATAAGCACATCCTTATTAATTATTAGCTTTGAGCACAATGATAAGAGACTATTATGATCATGCATAATTGTGGAAAACTAAGAACTTTTTCACTTATGTTCTATTATTCATAGTTTCTAAAGATAGAAACTATGTATGAAAGTCAAACACAGATCCTAGTCAACAGTCAAACATAAATCCTCTTTTAACTGAGGAACACAATGCATGTTGCACTGTGCTGTTGCTCTTGAGTTTAAAGAACCATAACACAGAAATAGCAATTGAATAGCCTGTTTCTCCCTCTTCAGAAGGTCACAGCCTAGGGATAACTTTGAAGGAAGTCCTCCTAACTCCATAGGGAAAAAAAAAATAGTGCTGATAAAATCACATGGCATTTTCTTCTTCACAACAAAATTAACATTTATTGAGCCCTTTTCATATTCCAAACATTTTACTAATATTTTCTTATTTCACCTTCCAGCAGGAAAATGTGGTATACATTGTCCCCATTTGTTTAGAATACTGAGGTTCAAGGTGAAAAGCATTCAGCAGAGCAAGGATTCAACAGCAGCAGTCTTGAAGCCA